AGAAAGAAAGAAAGAAAGAAAGAAAGAAAGAAAGAAAGAAAGAAAGAAAGAAAGAAAGAAAGAAAAGGTTCTTCTGGTTTAGACTGGAGTGTTGCTCTTTCTTAGACTGTTGTCTTAATGGTGTTTCTTAGGTGCATGGCCTAAAAGTCCAGCAATGCCTGAGTTGTCTGTGTATTCCTAACGGCTGTCTGCAGGTAAGCATGATAGCAAGAACAGGAAGCAGGGACTTGGCAGAGACAGACCTAATAGCACACAACCTGAGTATCTCAGGCAGAGATTAGATTCTGTTTTCCAGCGCTCACTAAGAGCACAGCAGCCACACATGGATTGCACTTTGGGCTCATCCTCTCAGGAGACTTACAATGGTGTTGATTATTCTAGTTCACTTCAGTCACTGTGATAAAATACTCTAACAAAAAGGAAGCTTAAGAGAGAAAGGGGTTGTTTCAGCACAGAATTCCAGGTTACAATCCATTACTACGGGGAAGTCAAAGCGGTAGGATTTAAAGAACTAGTCACATTACAGCCACAGTCATAAGCAATGAATGCACATCCACTTGCTCGGGCTCAGCTCCATCTCTCCACCCTAATATAGTTCTGGACCTCCTGCCTATGGAATGATGCCGTCCACAGTAGAGTGGGTCTTCCCAGCCCAACGTTAGTAGTTGTTCTTTTCAACTCTCTTCCAAGGTGCTTCTAGGTGATGTTGAGTTGACAGTCAAAGGTGCTATTTCTGCTGCTCCTGCTGATGATATTTTGTGGTACTGAAGATGGAGCCTATGGCTTTGTCTTTGCTGGGTTAGACTCTGACATTGAGCGACACCCTGCCCTCCTAAGGGGACTGTGAGCCCCACTTCACCCTCCCATGTGTCCAGGTTTGGAAGATCCCTGACTATGGGAGATGGCAGAAGGGTCACACTCCGGGACTCTGGGTATGGCACTATAGTTCATGCCCTCAACTGAGAGTAATAGACTACAGCATTCCTCCTTCCCATCTCCACTGGGGGAACTTCCTTCCAAAAGTGGTAAATTCCTGCTATGGAGGGCTGGAAAGATGGTTCAAACCTCAATAGAACTCTGATGGTTCTATTGGGTGGCTAACAACTTCCTGGAACCCCAGCTCCAGGAGACACTGGAGTGCACTCTTCTGGCCTCTGTGGGCAACTACACTCATAAGACACATGCATAGAATTAAAAAAAAAAAAAAAAGAAAAGAAAAGAAAAAATTCCTTTGAAAAGAGAAAGATACCAAGGCTGGGAATCTCTCATTCCTGCACACCAATGGATGACACCTGGAGGACATAAACCTGGAGACATGAGCTGAGCAGACTCTGTTGTCTGCTGTCTAAGACACAGCTGTCCCTGTGACATGACAAGCCCTGAGGTCCTCTCCAGTGTGGTGCAAAGCCATCCTGATCAGCAACCACAATGGAAAGCACAATGGAAGTCACAATCCGCTCCGCAGCCAAACATGCACAGATGGCGTGGAAGCGTGACTGTGTCCTCAAGGATTCAAGACACATCTAGGGAGGTGGATCTGGAGCTAGCCTCCCCTTTCATCACCCATGGGCCCCACCACATGAGGACACAGATGGTCTGCAGTCCCTGAGAGGAGGACTGGTTGAATCAAATGGGCCCAGTGATGGAATCTCAGGCCTCCAATGAATACAGCAATGCTAATTAACAGATCAACAGCCATGAGAGAGCATGGAAAAGTTCCCAGATCTCTCTGGAGTTGCGTTCATTAGGATAACACAACAGGCAATTCTTACCTACTGAGTGCACACAGCTTCAAATCCCCAAGAAAGGTCTTTGTTTTACAGCCCTGTTACGAAACATGATGATGAGTGGCCAGGGATGTGGAGTGGCTGTGTACTGTGGGTGTAAGAACTGCATCAGGAGGCAAAACAGAAGGATGGAAGAAGAGGGCTGGGGGTGCATCTCACTCAATACAGCAATCGTGTCGCATGCATGAGGACCTGAGTTCAGGCCCCTAGAAGTCTTCTAAGAATCTGGCAGGAGGCTGGCTGCCAAGTTTGATCCCTGGAACTCACATGGTAGGAGAGAGCCAACTTCCACAAGTTCCCTGGACTTCCGAATGCACACCCTGAATTACAGAGATAAACGTGATTAAAACTTGAGCCCAGCAGATACCTGTAATCCCAGTGAGAGCATGATGGGAAATGGAGATAAACAGATTCCTAGAGGCTCACGGCCCAGCTGGCCCAGCCTAACTCCCTGGGTGAAGAGAAAGCCTGGAGGGCAATCCCTAAGGAAGGACCAAAACCAACAGCTGTCTGCTGACCCCCACATTTGCACACCTGTACACACACAAGCACGCACATGTGTGTGCGAGCGTTTTGCTTGCATGTACATATTACACCATGTGCACACAGTGTCCTCGCAAGCCAGAAAGGGGCATTGGTTTCCCCCTAAACTGGCATTACAGATGATCTGAGCTATCATGTGGGTACTGGGAAGAGCAGTACGTGGTTTTGCATTGCTGACCCCATCTCTCCAGTCCTCAGAAGCCGATTCTTAGAGAGCATTATTACAGTGTGTATTTACAACTGAGGCCCCAAATTAAGCTGATTCGCTGAGAACAAAGGAACAGGAATGATTAGTGGATCCTCTTCTTCCATGCTGCCTCCATGTGTGTATGCAAGAAAACAAAAAAAATTAAAGGTGGGTGGGCAGTGGAGTAGAAGTTTGGGTTGTGTTGTGCAGATATCTTTTTGTTGTAGTCCCAAGTGTGAGATGTGGGAATGCTTTGTCTATAGCTGATAGTGGCCTTGTGAGAGATATGTGATCTGTCAGCTGATGAACAGCCTCATGGGAAGGCATGTGATCCTTGTCAGCAGGAAACTGTCTCTGGCAGAGGGCATAGATTTTGCCAGCTGAAAAATATCCTGGTACAGACTCTGAGAAGGTATAACTACGAATGCAGACAGAGAAAGAGAGAACATTTCACTCCTAGAGAGAAAAGCTCCAGAGAAGACTTCATGCTGCTTCTGCTGAACCCTGCTGCTGCTGCTGCTGCTGGTGGTCCTTGATGCTGTTTTTGCTATCGCTGGATTGCTGTTTTATTGTTTTGTTGGGCTGCTGGATATCCTGGTGACAAAGAATGGAATTGCCCCCAAGGAACTATGTGTAAAGAAGTCTACTTCCCTTATCCCTGCTAACCCTCCTTCCCATCTAGAATGGGTACCTATCCTGGGAAATAACCCTCTCTGTGTGACATGACGCACCACGGACCATGTTCATCACAGGAACCTATAACAGAGCAGTGACCACACTTA